GAATGTTGGTGTATCGGTTCCACCATTCTCTCCAATTTTGAATCAGTCTTGGAATTGGAAAGAGCCTCGGGGATGAATTATACCGATTACCTCCCTGTTTCTCCTCCTTCCCCCGAAATTCATGTGCGGATAGATAACAGTTCTCTGTTAGAGTTTAGATCCTCCCTTGATGAAAGACTTTCTGGGGATTTTTTTTTTTCCTTCTGGCGAATAGACATAATGAGGCTGATCCTCTATTTCTAAGGCAACCTCCTCCTCACGCTGTCTCCTTGCCTATTTCAGCCCCTCACGTTCCAATCTGTGGTAGCTAAGTTGACTGTGAATTAAGAGAGACATTTTCATATCAGGGACAAGAATGTTAGGAAGTTTTCATGTCAGGGACAGAAATGTCAGTTAGCAGGTTCATCAAACTTGTTGCGAAACAGGTTTGAGCTAGTCGCCCAAGTGCCTGAGCAAATACAATGAAGGGGAATAATGTAAACATTTTTTGTGAGCACCTTGCTATGCCTACACTGGGAAAATAAAGGGTTATAAGATGCTGTCTTTAAGAGGTGTGTATTCTAGTTAAAATGATAATTATTATGCCTGCATAAAGCCTACTTATGATTATTGATAACTAATTGTGATCATCTAATAGTGCATACTAGATGTTTGTACTACTAGATTAATGCTTATTTTGAGTTTTTATTTCATTAAATAAACTCAATCCTGGGCCCAATTTATCAGATACTATAAACAAATGCACTCTTTCTCCATAACTGCTGTTTAGACAAGGGAAAGCACTTCGTCATAATACCATAAATGTAGCCATTCAAACATGTATATGCTAACTTGCTATATTAAACCTGAATTACTTTTAAATAGTAAATTAAACTTCAAGGGTCCAAGTCTTCCATTTATTCTAAGTTTTCTTAAGGATGCAAGGAAAATCTTGAAAATCTGTAGTCCAGCCTAGAATTCATCCCAGGGAGTGTAGGAAAATCTTTTGGATTAAAAAAAAAAAATTAGAGCTTTCATTTCTGTATTTTTAATTTCAGCATTTAAAAATTTCTATTTTGTATTCCTTACATATTTTATAAATTACACAGTATAACAGAACATATATAAAGTTTAGGTGTGTGTATGTATATATATGTATGTGTGTATATATATGTGTGTGTGTGTGTATATATATGTGTGTGTGTGTGAGAAACATTAAATTTTTTAATGAGGAGTATCCAATAAAAGGTTTGGGCTCACTACTATCCTCACAGAAGTTCTCTATCAAGTAGGTTAGACTACTAAAAATCTTCTCAGTCTTTTTGGTCTTTTTCTAAAATGGTTTTCCATTTTTCTTAGGAGAAATCATGCAAAATATAAATGAACAGTTAGAAAAGCATAGTAGAAAGTGCAGCTATGATCTGTTATTCTCTCCATGTTTCTTTTATATTTTCATTGTGGCCTCTTCTTAGACCATTTCAGAATGTGAGTGAAACTAACTTAAAAAAAGTAAACAAACAAACAAAAAAACTAGGCAGAAGACAAAGTATAAGAAAAATGCTCATGGTATATATCACCTTTAATTCTTTTTTTGGTCTCATTTAAATAATCAGTATTCTGTGCCATTCTTACCCCAGCAGTGATGCCAACCTTTATTTTTGTTTTATCATCACATTGTTCCTTTTGTTTTACATGCTTCATTGCTATATTTCTAAAACTATTCTTCATTTTAAAATTGCAGGATAGCTTTGGTGATCAATGATCATTTTATAATTAAAAATCCTCACATTAGAGTCTCTATGAACATAAAAAGATTAAAAGCCAGTCTTGCTGGTCTTTGCTGCTGTATGCTATCAGGACCAAGGGAAAACCTTCCTCTTTGCTCTGTGAATGTTCACTGAAAATCATGGACAAGAGACAGATTAATTGGAGAAAAGGCATACAAATTAATGTGTACATGGGGGCCCTCAGAGTGAAGACCTGAAGATACAGAGGGAACTATCTATTCTTTTGCTTAAGTTCAACAAAGTATGGACAGTTGTGTCCGTACATTTTGTCCAAATGTGATTGGACAAAAGAGTATGATCTAAGGCTAATAGATTGAGTGAGGAAAACTCAGCAAGTCCTTTCTGTCGAGAATCTTCTTGGCCTCCCTGAGCATGCATTCCCTTCTTCTGGGTATGAGGCAGGACACTCTCTGGAATGGGGATCTTATGACCATAGCCAAAGAAAGGTAGGTTGGATAACTTCTTGATGACCAGTTTTTACACAGAAAGGCAGAGGGAAAGTTAGAATAATAGTTTTAGGTTTTTGGCTGGCTTTGAGGAAAAGGGGTTTTGGTGTCTATGACCTGCTTCAGGGAAGAGGGTTGCTAGTTGCTGTGGCTAGCCTGGTGGGGAATGGAACTGAGAGATAGAGGGCAGGAGAAGGTCAGAGAAAAACTTTTGTTTCTCAGGCTGCTTCTGAGGCTTTCATTGTGGGGTATTGTTTTGTGAGTCCCAACGTTGCATTAGATTGCAAAGGACATCTGTAAACCCAGCAACTTTGGGAGTTGGTGGATATGAGGATAAAGGGAGTTTAAATGTAAGAAACAGGAAACAACAATGAAACCGCATCACTGAGATTCCTTAGGTCTGGGAGCAGTCATTCAAATAATACTTTGGGACGTTTTTCATCTGTGGGAAACACAGGCGTCTTTGACCTCAGGGACTAAGAAGCTGTTTGGAAAACCATCTCTATAATGGTATAATAGTTCCTGTGGCATAAATACTGACTGGCCAAGTTGGCTATAAACTGGTACAACCCCTGGAACAGGGGTCATCAGTGTGACCAAGGAGAAA